TGATCTAAAATTGACCAAACTGGTACAAAACTCTGAACACGGCTTCAAAAATACTGAATGAGTTTCTCTTTATTCACTACACCCAGCATGGTATGTTTGAGGGGGTCACTAAACTCAAAGGAACGTTCTTCAGAAGTAAAGCTAACATTCAAGGTCCTTTAATGCAGTAAGAACAATAAATCAATGGTGTCACTAAGGAACAGGTCTTATTTTTATTGGCACAGTGGGAAAATGATAACCATTCACAAAAATAACACATCGTCTTGCTGGTTTAGTGTATTAAGCACATTTAAAAATCTTTCCACAGTGCAATGTTCATATGTGCTTTCATTCACCGAGACAAAAACACTAAACAGATTCTGCCAGAAGCGTAAATGCAGAGCAAACACCAAACAAGTCCATTAAAACCCACAAACCAAACATTTTCACAAAGTTACTGCTGTCAGTGGCTGGATCTGTTAGCGGTTGTCCTTGCGATGTGAAATGGGAAAGCGTCGTATTTAAACACAAAATCAGATACTTGGATTATCATTGTGGTATTTAGTCCATCTTTCCAGAAATCGTATATATGAAATAGAGATTTTTGTTCTTTTGACCAGCTTAAAATAAATCACACACACACATCCAAAGTCAAGCTGTCGCACAGCGTGTGCTTTTTGTCAACATTCAGTCCTTGCTACGAAATTGTGATTGTCTGTTTAGGCACAGAGTATACGATCATCACTATTCCAATGCATACTGTGCAAAAAAACCCTCAATGACAACAACGGAAAGGAAAGCAAACAGTTAAAGCAGCTGATACTTCTTTTCTAAGTTAGCTATTTAATTAGTTTTTGTAATTCATGATTTCCTTCTAACATACATCACAATAAATAGACATCGTTTACTTTGCCAAGTATGCTTCCTGACACAAAGTTTTCTCATGACATAGTTTTGTTGTTTTTGTTTTGCACACACAGGAAACATTGACATCCTTTATCTAAGATGCTAACAAAGGCCGCGGTTTAAAAAGCTGAGCTGTGATTTGTTTCGTAAACAAAACCAACAGCAGTCTTATTTGCTGGCACGATAAAAAGTAAGGCATGAGCTAAAAAAATGTAAGGCCAAAAATGATTAGACTCATAGCTTCCTTCACTGCAAACTCGCTTCAGGAAAAATGGCGCAAACATTTCACCTCAATTAAGGTAAAAATAAAATAAAATAAAATAACTGAAACAAAGTCTTGAGATAACAGCAGGGCATTTATCAGCAGATGAAGTGCTAATGACTTAAAGCAGAATATCTGATTCTTAACATTCAATCTGAGACTGCATTTGCCTCCGCAGGCTGAGGGTGCGCCGATGGAGCTGCTGCATCTGTTGCATGCGGTCTCGCTGGCGAGCCAGGTTGTGGGGGACGGGGTAACGCTGGGAGCCATAGAGGTACTGGTACGGGATGCGAACGTGGCAGGCCGCCGCACGGCAGCGTGGCTGGGGCAGGGGCGGCAGCAGCATCCAGCGTTTCCTCTTGGCGCAGTAACGGTAGGCCTCCTTGCGGTACTGCTTTTCTACGTGGTTGCTGTTCCTCCACCCGCCGATGATGAAGATGTCTTCACCCAGGTAGCAAATGGCAGCGCCCTCCAGGCTGAGGACCTCTGACGGGAGGCTGTCGAGGATGTCCTCTGAGATGTTTCTGCTTATTTTCTGCTGGGCAGCCTCATGTGTTACCGTGTAGTTCTTGGGGCAACAGGAAGCTGTGTGATAGAAGTTGCTGGATGCAACAGCCATTTGAAAACTACAATAGGTATCAATAAGCGGTAACGAGTCCACTTCCTGCCACTTGCGGCTTTCTGTATCGTAGCAGGTGGTCACCGTGCTCAGCCCATCATCGCTGTCTATATCTACGGGGGTCCTGGCCATGACGTACACATAGCGATCCTCCACGCTCACTGTTTTTACATCTCGCAGGATCTTTGGCGCTGGCTCCAGATTGAGCCACATGTCCTGCTCAGGTTCATAAATGGAGACATCCTTGAAACCTGGACTGAAGTTGCCATGGCCGCCGATGATGTAGAGTGTGTCTTTGATGCACGTGAGGCCAAACGAGTGCTTGCGTGTGGTCAGGCTGCTGACTGACTCCCAGCAATTAAGGTTGGGATTGTAGTGCTCCACCATCTTGGCGAAGCTGGGCTCCATTGAGCCCGCCACATAAAGGTGATTCTCGGTGACAGCAATAGCATGTCCATCGAGGTGGTTGTGGATGTGTGGCAAACTGACCCAGCGATCCTCAGCAACAAAGTAGCCCACACATTCGCTCAAATAATCTCCTCCTTCCGAAACACCACCCACTACCATGATCACATCCATGTTCTGACCGTATCGAGGCTGGATCGTCGCCTCGTAGGAGTCACCGAGATCTGAATCGGCCTTCTTGGGGCTCTCATAACGAACAGCG